GTGCAGAAATACACATCTATAGCATCTCCAACAGGCTCTACATGAGGACATCCAGTGAGAGTTCACCACTTCCTGAGGCAGTCTGTTTCACAGTTCCTACTGTTAGAAACTTTCTTCCAGTATTTAGCCAAAATCTATTTTCTTGTTGTTTCCCACTCACGTTTCATTCCTCGATTTAACCCTGTCACTGCCAACGGGTCTTAAGATAAAGAGCCTTGAGGACTTAAAGTACCTTTCTAAATGTGAAATTATAGCTCATGTGAACATGGCGGTTTTCAGACTCTGACCCATGAATTTGGCAAATGCCAGCTTGGGTGGGGCATGTGTGGAACAATGGGAACATGCCATACAAGGTATGGGTGTGTGGGTGTAATGTAAACATATGACAAAACAGGTTTCAAAGTCTTAACATTTAAAGTCTTTTAAACCTTCCTGTTTTGTTATTGCTTAATTGCAGATTTTGGATCCCATCCCACTGAAAATCCCCACTGATGGAAGGATTTCTGTTTAGCAGAGCATGACTTTCTCATTTCTCCCGTCCTGCTGCTATCCAAAATGTCCCCTCCTAAATTTTACCTCTGTGGGTGGGGGGACCCCTCCCCAGAATAGCTTGGAAGGAAAGTCAGAGGTCTGCAGCCTGGGGAGGGGTCACTGAACCTCATCCCTTTCATCTTTGGACATCTTAGGTGGGATTCAGCCTACTACAATTTAGTGTGCAACTGCATCTTTACAGAATCCAGAACCTACTTGTTGGTTCTGGTGTTCAGTTGCTTTTACTCTTAGATTTATGTATATTATATATAAATCAGAGGGAAAGTTCACATAAAACTGTATATATTTATGTATGAAATGTGTATCCTGCACTCCTTGTCCAGGGCAGGTTCTCAGGTTGGCTGAGTGTGTGGGTGCACCTGTGCAATAACTAGATTACTATGCCTTTTCTCCAAAGGCCCTGCTGGCAATGAGAGACTGCTAGAAGGCATGACCCTTAGCCTGCTGTCTGGAAAATAAGATTGGCAGGTGATAAACTACAAGCTATTTAACAGAGGAAAGGGGATTAACAAAAGTTAAACAAATAAAAATAAACCCCACGTCTAATAAGACAACAAATGGTCTTTGAAATCCTTTTAATAACAAACCTTTAATAAACACAATAGAGAAGGAGATTCCTCAGCTATGTACAGGGCAAACTTGATTACAAATGCAAATATTGCCTTTGTCCCTTTTGATTCACAGAATTAGCTGACGGTTCAGTTGTCCTGATGAAGAGTTCTGTAGAATTTTGATTTACTCATTGGGCGTGTCTCATAATCTGAGCCTAAAACACTCACAGTTCTACTGCAGGCCCTGTGTCACATTTGAGAGGAGAAGGGTTTGAACAGTGTCTTGTTTATGGTCATCTGAGTATCAGCAAGCTCTAGTTGGGAAATCAGTGCCATCCTACTAAGCTTCTTAAAAAGGTAAAGGTTTCCCTTGCTCGAAAGCTAGTCGAATCCGACTCTAGGGGGCAGTGCTCAGCTCCGTTTCCAAGCCGAAGAGCCAGCGCTGTCTGAAGACATTTCTGTGGTCATGTGGCCGGCATGACTAGATGCCAAGGTGCACAGGACGCTGTTACCTTCCCACCAAAGCGGTACCTATTTATCTACTTGAAATTTCTTGCTTTCGAACTGCTAGGTTGGCAGGAGCTGGGGCCAGAGACGGGATCTCACTTTGTCACGTGGCGCTGGGGTCTTGGACTGCCAAGCTACCAACCTTCTGGTCTGCAGTTCAGTGTCTTAACCTCTAAGCCAAGCTTCTTACTGTCCTTTTAAATGAATGTTACAGATAAACTGTTGTTGTCAACTCTTGTGGAAAGGAAAAGAGGCAATGCGGACCACTGACGTTTATTGGGTGATCCAAGTGGTAATGAAGACCATAATGTTTGGGAAGCCATGCATCTCCACCAGAGTGCTGTGCTGTGGCACTGTGATTGTAAACCCTTTTGTAATAAATGGCCAATTAATGCAGACTTTGGATACGTACAGCTGGCCTTACATGTGGCTGCCTGGCACTCTTTTGTTTTCCCACCCAGCAAACATTGGGCACATTGAAAGGGGTTAAATGGGTCTATTTCCAGTAATGCGATTAAAGGTATTTTGAAGCTTGTTGCTAGAAATGTGCATTTAACTTCCTCATGAGTGCCAAGCGTCATGAGGGAAGTACAATCAGTTTTATACATGCAAATTTACTGTGGTATGTGTTTTCTGGGGTTGCAGTGGTAAAGATGGTTGGTAAGTCATCTTTGTTGTACCCAGGAGCATCCCCAAATTATAGACCATTGAAGTGTGTGATTCTATTATTACTTATATACATTACATTTTAATCCCTCCTGTTCCACGCAGTCTGGGTGGCTCGGGTATTTGACTGTTCATTCAGCATGCAAAACGTTTGTATAATAGAGACAGTGCGGTTGAAGCAGCAGTGAACCTGAGCAGGTTCCCTTGAGAGGCAGCTTTAAAAAAAAAACCCACTAAATAATTAATTCAAGGTGTAAGGGCAATTCAAGGGGTAAGGGCAAACAGGGCTGCCTGACCTATGTTTCTACACTCCGCTAAATTCTGTGTTGGCCCTCGTTATGACTTCACCAGATCTGACCGACTTTCTTCGCCCGTTCATGTTCTGCCCCATCCTTTAGAAGTGCTGTGTTTGTCCTACCTTGGAACCAGTTTTAAGCAGGGGTCGTTTCGTAGAAAAAGAGCTAGGGGAACTCATTAGCATAACTCATTAGCATATGCCACACCCCCTGCCATCTCCGGAAGTGTGTCATAAGGCCACACCCCCTGCCATCACCGGAAATGTGTCATAAGGCCACACCCCCTGCCATCACCGGAAGTGTGTCATGAGGCCACACCCCCTGCCATCACCGGGAGTGTGTCATAAGGCCACACCCACCACTCAGATAGTCTTAGTCTTAAAGGTTAGTCTTAAAGGTGCTATTTGTTAGTCTTAAAGGTGCTATTTGAGCTCTTGGACTATTTTGCAGCAACAGACTAACACAGCTACCTCGGGGAAGCTCCTGGATGGGGCTGGGAGTCCTTGCGGAGGCCACGTGGAGTGGCCTCGGCCAGGCAGAGGGGGAGGACGCCAACTTACCCTCCTGCTTCTTCCTCCTTCTGCAACAGAATGAGGCTGGAAGCAGGGGGCGGCCGGGGGCTTTGTCGTGTGCCCCGCCCCCGCCCCTCACCCGGGGGAACAGCGATCCCCCCCAAATCGACCTCTGGTTTTAAGTCACATCATCTGAGGGCCCGTTCCTCTTCGTTTGGGTCAGGGGCTCGGGTGCCTTCACCGGCCGTGGCCCTAAACGAGGGCGTGTAGTGCTCTCTGCCGAGGGAGTCTTGAGGTTCTTCAAAAACAGTCGTGAAGAGATGGGAGTGAAAGTCAGGCTTGGATGCAAATTGAAACTGGAGGCAGGGTAAGCCTCGTTTTTGTGGGAGGGCGTCTGTGCCTGTCCTCCATTTTAAGCACAGCTGCTGACCAGACACATGTCAGACTCCCATCTGGTGAAGAGGGCTCTCATCACTGAGAGCGGCTGCCGTAAATAAGTCTGCTACTGTCTTTTAATTTGCCACAAGGTTCTTTGTTGCATTTTTGTTCTTTCTTAGAGCAGCAGGTTGTCTGTCTGTCTCTTTTTTAAAAAATCCATGTATTCAGGCAGAAAATCCGTGTGCAGTCCAACCTAGATCCACGCGTGTTCTGGGTCGCTACCCTTCATAACCCACCTGTATCGCACTAGAATTGCATAGTGGGGCATGCTTCATTACATGTCTTCCACTGAACATAGCATCTACATTTTCCTCCATACCCAGCCATTCACTTCCACCTACTGGACAAAATTAGAATGACAGCATTTTGTGAAGATTTAACAACAAAAATTATATGTGTGTGTGCAATGTGTTTTCTGTCAACTCCTGCAAGATAGACTGTATTATTGTCTCTATACGGCAGACCAGTATGACCCTCTTTTCTGTGGTGGCACCTTCCTGAGGCCTTCACCCCCGGCATTGGCTCCCCTGGCACCACGCTTATTAAGCTCTAAGCTCTGATTTACCCAGGCCAGGTGTTTTGTGGTGTGGGTGTGACTGAAGGGGGTAGTCTGTCTAAGAACCTCATGCCCTGTCCTTCCACCTCTGGGGAACTGTTCATTTCTAGGTAGGTTTTAGCTGCTTTTAGGAGCGTTCTTTTCTTTTTTGCTGCTGCAGCTGTTTTACTTAATTACTTTACCTGTTACTTTTATTGTTTGTTGATTATTTTCTCTGATGCTTCTATTAGTTTTAAGTTAATGGTATGTATTCTGGCAATGGCAAGCCACCTCCGAATGTCCCTTGTCTTGAAAAACTTACAGGATCATCATACTTCAGCTGCGACTTGACAGCAAAAAAACAAAAAAAGTAAAATCCTGATGCCTGGGGGAGGTAACAAATATTTTAAATAAACGGACGATGCCCCTTATTAAGTTTCAAACTCATACCTTTTGAGATGTTTTTGCACATGTGAATAACGGGTGTGTGTGGATTTTGTGAAAATTGCTCTTAAGATCCGTATCTTTGTAAAACGTACAGTACTTTATTTCATCCCAGCCTTCCTCTCAGAAGGTCAGGAAAGCACACATTAGTTTCTTCGTTTTATGGTAACACCCCTGCGAGGTAGGCTAAGAGAGGGCATGGATGGCTCAATGTCTTCTAAGTGAACTGCCTGGCTGAATGGGGATTTTAACTGAGTCATTGTCTGATGTTCCAGCCACTATACCACACCACATTGGCTTTAAAACTCACAATGTTGTGGTTTAAATGTTCATAATGTACATGTTCCTCATGTAAAATGTCACTGGCATGTCTGCCAAAATGAATCCTTTGCATCCATAGTTTTGTCCACTCCATTTGAAAGTGTGGAGGTTTATGCAAAGTTGTTCGGTTTTACACAGCATTGTGCAATTTTACATGCTGTTGCCTTCTTTCTTGCAGATCAAAAACACATTGACCACCGAGTGTTCTTCTACCTGTGGATCGTCTTCTATTTTATAAGCTCCTGCTACACTCTTATCTGGGATTTGAAGATGGACTGGGGTCTCTTTGACAAGAATGCTGGTGAAAACACCTTCTTGCGGGAGGAGATTGTCTATCCACAAAAAGTGTGTATGCAGATTGTTTTTACTAATATGCTTGAAAGTTCTTGAGAAGGTGGATTGTGGGAACTCGACTGTATCACCAAGATATTTTTTGTGGTCTGGGCATCTGTTTAAGTCAAAGAGTCCAATCTGTGCTTTACAGAATGAAGCCTGATTGATATATGAAGGAAAATGAGGTGGTGGTGGAATGCTGAGGTAGTAAAATGGAGAGCACTACCTCAGGCTGCAGAAACTTTCCCCTTGATTAAAAATTCCCTGCAAAACAAAATTTAAAAACCCAAGGCCAAACAGCACAGCAAATTGGAGTGGGCGTGGGTGAGATAGGAGTTTTATTCCTGTTGTTTCTCTTTACCAGGAATTTCTTCATTGAATCCAACGCCTGCAGTCTGAGGTACCACCTCAGCATTCTCCCACCTCAGTTTCTGGCATGTGTAAAAACCAAGCCTTGAATAAGGTGAAATAAAATGGCTTTCTCCTTGGGAGCTTGCATGATACTATGGGGTTAATAATAACAACAGGCCAGGAAGTGGGAGTGGAATGAAAGAAGAAATTTGTTTTCAGCCCATGAATGGGCTGAAACCATTTTCACTGCCCAGAAAGAAGGAACCATGAGCAGACTTTGTTGTGAAGATCACAGCTGGCTTATGGGTTAATACAGGGAGAAAGCATCTGTGAGTTATGAGGCCCCCAGTTTGTGAAGAGTTTTATTTTTATTTCTTTATTTGTTTGTTTGTTGGCTTACTCTGGGATTTTTACCCCGCCCTCTCCGCAAAGCGGGCTCAGGGCGGCTTACAAGGGGCAAAGACCATATAAAACAGGATAAAAGCAATAAAAACATTAGTAACAATTAGTCAATTAGGTAATTAGAATTAGGTAATTAGAATCATTACCTTAAACTGAACCTAGAAACAAAAGAGCAGCCAGAAAAGGTATTTCAGAACCAGAGTAAGATGTACAAATCAGCTTGGTCCAGGCAAAACGCAGGCTGCCGTGCTTTGCGTTAAATGTTTCTGAGTTGTCTTCAAGGACATCCTCACATAGAGTGTCTTATAGCAATCAAGTCAGCCACATAGATCGACATAGGGAGAGTAGCGGAGTCCAGAAGGGGTGGAATGTTCTCCTTCCCAGATGTAACTGGAAAACGGCACTCTTTGATATAGAGGCACCCTGTTTTTCCATCTGTAAGTCAGGCCCTGAGGAAAAACAAATCAGGTGTCTATTGAATTTGATAAAAAATAGACTCACCCCCATTGAAGGCAGGCAAAACAAACGCCAGTTAACTGAAGAACAGCTTCATCTTCATTTAGCTTCATCTGTTATTCCTTAGCTATTTGACCATAACAATTGGAATATGGCTCAAAAAAAATTAAACATGTCTGTCTTGCTTTGGTTCTTTAAAAAAGTTATAAACAGTTCACAATTGACAGCAACAATAATCAAGGTAAAGAGAGTACCAGTATGACATACCTTATGGTGGTTGTTCCATACAAATTAACAGAGTAAGCCAATTTAGGTCTAAATCACTATCAACTTCTTTTTTTATAGAGAGCTGAAAGTTTAACATATAAATAAAATTCTTTTACTTTTCTCCCAAATTCCCAGCTCGTTGGAATCTTCTGTTGCTTCCATACCTTAGCAAAAGTTAATCTAGCAGCAGAAATGGTGTACAGAGCCAAGTACCCAGAGCTTTCTTGGGATTAGAGCTATATAATTTAACAAATATATTTCTGGCTTAATTCTAACAGTTCGTCTTTGTGGTTTCTGTACAGTCCCACACGGGATTGCACTTGCGCAGGCCAGCTGCTGCGGGGATTTCTTCTACAAAGCTCTCTAGAAAGTTCTTTTGGGTTGGATCCTCCTTGCTTTGGGCTGTCCCTCTTTCCCCCCTGGTGCTTTGTTTCCTGCCACGGAGGATCAGGAGTCTTTGCGCGCTTCTGTTTTTCTCACAGGTTTTTGTAGTGCCTTTTTTCTTCTGTCTACTTTTTGATCTTTGCTCCTTTGATTAGTTCATAAAAAGGGGAATAAGAATCAAGACTTTGTTACTTCGCTGTGGCTCTGTCTAAGAAATGTGCTGAGTGTGGCCTAAAAATGGCTCAGTTGGATGACCATGACTGCTGTCTCTAATGTTCAGGTGAGGCCCACAACGTCTCTGCTTGTCTGATTTGCAAGCAGATCACCCCAAAAGCCCGATTGGATAGGACCTCTAGACTGAAAGCCGCCATTTGGGAGAAGGCTTTAGCGGCTCCTGGCAAAGATCAGACCCCTTCCAAGGAGTTGGAACTGGACCACGGTGCCTGCGCCCCTCCCCCCCTTTGGGGCCAGTGCCATTGGGATCTGTATTGGAACTGGGCCCACTATTGGCTCCAAAGAAATCCTCAGTATCTCAGTCGGACTTCCCACTCTTCCTCCACATGACTGGGACTGGATCCATCCCCTACATGGCGGCCCTGATCTCTAAGAAATCCCTTAAGGGCGTGATTAACTTACACACATGCACACCACCCTTCCCTGTTCCCCAGTGGAGCCTTTCTTTGTTGCTCTCTGCCTTAATGCTTAAGCCCTTTGAGCCCCTTGCCACAGGTCGTATGCCTATAAGTGGTCCAGGTTCCTGACTTCTTGGTTCGTGTCAACCGTCACCAACTTCTGTGGACCCCCACCACATTTTCGACTTCCTCCTGTCTTTGTCAGATTCTGGACTGTCATATACTAGCAGCCATTTTGGCTTACCACAATCCCATTGATGGATTTTCCGTGTGAGACCTTCTCCATTTGCATCCTCCGATAGATTTCCATCTCCACTCAGAAATTTTCTTGCTGGACTTCATAGTGGAGATGTCAATGCCAAATGGTACCGATGCGGAGATTGGCCCCTCGATGCTGGCGGATTGTCAGTACCGAACGCCTCCCAACACCAGGGTGAAGGAGACTGTCAGCATCGAGTCGCCATTGAACTCGATGGTTGCAGTTCACTCCTGGGTGCTGGAGATGGCAGCGAACACCGTTTGTGTGCCCGTTTCTTCTTTTTGGCTTTTTTAGCGGGCAGCTCAGAGTCTGCTCTAGCAGCCACCTCCGCGGTAAGGCTTTTGGCCGGGGTAGGAGCCAGAGCGAAGCTTACCGAAGGCGTCCGTTCCTTTGTCAGAGAACTAGGCGGCAGCAAGGCTTCAGGAGCTGCAAGGGTCTTCTCCCACAAGGCAGCTTTGAGGCAGGCTGTCCTTCCTTCTCGTGCCCAAGGATTTAGAGCCTTACAGGCCTTGCACGTCGACATATTGTGGGCTTCTCCAAGGCACAGAAGGCAGGAAGAATGTTCATCGGACTGTGCCATCTTCGCCTCACAGTCAGTGCATTTTTTAAACACCACCACGTTTTGTTTGTCTGAGGCCATAATTTTACCTCCGAAGAAGCGCAGCTCGCTGACACAAGTCCTCTCAGAGTGGCAGCAAACAGAGAACTGAGGGAAGAGTGTTGGCTCCTCCCAGGTCACGTGATTTTGGGGCAGGAAGTTGCTGGTCTGGGTAGGAGCCAAGCACTCTTGGGAAGAATTTTTTTTCTAAAATAAGCTTGCTAGTTCCTCCCGGTGGCTGGTCTGGGACTGCACAGAAGCCACGAAGGTGAACAAAGTTTACAGGTAAGTGCAACCCCTGTTTTCTAGTGCATTTCCATTCCACCATATGTGTATGAAGTCATCATTTTGTTCCCCACAATACCAACATACATCACTAACTCCTTGGTACATTCTAGCAGGTGAGAGGTAGGTTTGATGGAGCATTTTTATAGTGTTCTTTCTTAAACAAAGACCAATAGAACAAAGTTTGAGTCCAGTGGCGCCTTTAAAACCAGCAACAAAGTTTTATGCCGTGTATGAGCTTTCGTGTGCACGTGCATTTCCTCAGATACAATGAAATGGAACCTACCAGTCCATACGTATAGGAAGAGGTTGAGCAATAAATCTGCATAAAACATAGTGGAGATATTTATCAGAATCAGGAATAACAACTTAGTTTATCTGGTTACCATCTCTCCGTATATATAATTGTGTTTTGATCATGGACTCTCCTGACCATTCCGCAAGCTCCCAAATCAGTTGGCTCCCTGATCTGTCACTCAGAGGGTCTCCCTATCCACTGGCTGTGTTGCCTGAGTCCTGCCTCCAACATTCTAAACAGTTTGCTGTTCGTCTCTCCCCCATAGCCAGTCAGAACACAGAGGTCATTTTGCATATGTGGCCTAACAGGCCTTTGCCTCTAACATTCTAAACAGTTTGCTGTTGCTGTTGGGAGTCACTGAATGTGTCCTGAGGTAAAATACATATCCCAGTCTCCATGTGGGGCCTGGAGATCTCCCAGAAATCACCGCGTTCCCCAGCCACAGCACATCATTTCCCCTATAGAAAATTTCCCAGCTATTACAACTGATGTCCAGATGACCAAGATCAGTTCTCCTGGAAACAACGCCTGCTTTGGGCAGTGGACTCTAGGCATTATACCCTGCTGAGGTCCCTCCCCACCCCAAACCCTGCCCTCCCCAGGCTCTACCCCATAAATCTAAAGGTCCCTTTCCCCACCCCAAACCCTTCCCTCCCCAGGCTCTACCCCTCAAATCTACAGGTATTTCCCAACCCAGAGTTGGGAACCCTGTAACTGACTATGGAATCGCTTTCCAGACCCTTGGAACCCAGAAGACATGGCATAGGAGGAAGTGGTTTTCTACCTTAGCTGCCACTGCATAGCCCCAAATCAACCTAAGTCAGGGGTGGAGGGGAACCATAGCTGTTACCATGAGGCTGTCCTCCCATACTACCCACTTGGGGCAGCAAAATGACTTGAGACAGCCCTGCCTTATAGCTAAGCAGAAGGAAATAAACATGGCTTGCCTCCCTCTATTTTCCCCTTCCCTCTGCTGCCCCACTAGCCACAGTTGGGACACTCACCTGGAGCTTCCTTCTAGAGCTCGTTGTATTTCTTCCCGCAACAGCCTACGATGTTTTAACAGATGCAAAAACCAAACAAAGATAACAAGTCCACATGGTCATCTGTTTGGATTCAGTTCCCTGGGAAAACACAGAGAGGCAATTAGATATATCAGACTTGAAGAGTGATGTGTAAATGTATCCTCCTTAATTGTGGAACAGTAAGATCAAATAAACAATACCCTGCTCTTACGCTACATTCGTCTCCTCTCAAGCATGGAGGGTAACAAATGGGAGGTGGGGTGACCCCATATAGACTGCTTCAGACCAACACGGCTGCCCACCTGCATCTAAAGACCAATAGAGAAAGACATAACCCCCCCCCCTCCCCTTTGCTTTATGGCTTTATTTGGGACTGGGGCTTCTGAGTTAATTGGGAGAAGCCTTTTCTCGGTATAACTATTTGTCTTGTCTGCTTGCTGTTTCCTCAGGCCTACTACTACTGTGCCATTGTTGAGGATGTGATCCTGCGTTTCACATGGACTATCCAGGTCTCCATTAACACTATGGAGATCTCCCCCCATGCCTCAGACATCATGACCACTGTTTTTGCACCACTTGAGGTTTTCAGGTAAGACACGCTGGCTAAATTGGTGATTTAGAGTGATTAACAAATGGAATTCACTGCCTTTGCAGACGGTCCAGTGTGGCATGTTACCCCCCCACAAGGGTCACACAGTGACCACCTTAATTCCAGTGTGGCCCCAATGCACTCCCTGAGCTAGCATCGTTAGCACCTGGTATTTCAGCTGAACATTCTGCCCAGCCTTATAAAAGCAAAAGACTCACCTTGTTGAGATTCAGACAAGAGGCAACTGGGTGTATCTGAGAGCTAGAAGTCAGAGGGGACTTTGGGCAGTGGTGTGAGTCTTTCTTGAATTGCATTGGGCAGAGGGGTCTCATGAGCAGTGGTGTGAGTCTTTCTTGAATTGCATGAGCTTGCCCTTCTCTCTGGTTCCAGAACATGCCTATGCTGCCTTTTTTGAAATCCAGGCATACTTTCTTTTGTTGCCCAGTCACATCTCAAATGTGCCAGAGTGTTGGAAATCCAGGAGTCTCAGTCCTACAGTCAGAGGACAGTACGTATGTCAAAAGATGAGTTTGCACACTTCTTATTCCAGTTTCAGACTTAGTGCTTCTCTAGTGCAAATCACACTCAAACCAGTTCTGTGTAATAACTTGCAGTAGGGTGGCACTGTTGTTCGTTTTGTCTTTCACGGAGCATGTATCAGCTCATTCTCACAGTGATCCAGTGAGGCAGCAGATTAGGTCAGGAGACATTGACTTGACAAGGACCACCCAGCAAGCTTTATACCTCAGTGAAGATTTGAATCTGGGTTTCGCACTCCCCCCCAAAACAACTATGCTTCTCTTGATTCATGACACTGGCCCCGATCACACGCAGAATTTGCCACAGGGTACTCACAAATGATGGAGCTGCGGTGGCTCAAGTGGTTAAGACGCTGAACTGCAGGCTGTAGAAGGTCAGGAGTTCAGGAGTTCAAGACCCGGGTGCCGCATGATGGGGTGAGCTCCCGTCTCTAGTTCCAGCTCCTGCCAACCTAGCAGTTCGAAAGCAAGAGATTGCAAGTAGATAAATAGGTACCACTTCGGTGGGATGGTAACAGCGTTCCGTGAGCCTTGGTGTTTAGTCATGCCGGCCACATGACCACGGAAATGTCTTCGGACAACGCTGGCTCTTCGGCTTTGAAACGGAGATGAGCACCACAACCCTAGAGTCGGATTCGACTGGCTTTCGAGCAAGGGAACCTTTACCTTTACTCACAAATGCCGCCCGTATTTTACTGGCGCAATCAGACGGACACATCTGGCCAGTGTCCCGCACCCATCAACAACCCGTAGCAGTCAGCCAAAGAAGCGGAGTTTTAAAGTACCCGGGGAAATCCACTGTCAACTGGTTGCGACGGGCTGTAGCCGGACGCTCTCCGTGTGATCGCTGCAGCGTGCCCCTCTCGCGTCCCTGCTTCCTGGTTGGAGCATGCCGGAAACGCCTGCCCATGGAAATAACGCCGTCGCGTCTGAACGCGTTGGGTCATATCAAATTGCGACAGCACAAATCGCCACGCCTCCCCCACCCCCGCGTTTTCCGGCATGTGTGACCGGGACCACTGGAAGTCTTCTGTTCCCCCCCCCCAACATCTGACATGCTAAAGTGTTGCTTTTAGAAAGAGCAGGATAAATACAACCCAGAGATCCATCCATTAGCCGGGAAGCAATGCAGCAGCCTCACCTGCCTTTGCTCGCCAACAGAGGAGGAGGCAGACTTTTATCCCACTGATGGCTTTCTTGTTTTGGTTGCCCTAATCTATGTAGCTTCTGGTTTGCAACAGGCCACGAAGAGGCCTTTATGCTTCCAGCATGAGTTTGTGTCTTGACCGTAATTGTTCTCTTCCCCCCCACGCCCCCTGCCCTCTTCCTCCTTTAAGGCGGTTTGTCTGGAATTTCTTCCGCTTGGAGAACGAGCACCTGAACAACTGTGGCGAGTTCCGTGCCGTCCGGGACATTTCAGTGGCGCCGCTGAATGCAGACGATCAGACTCTGCTCGAACAGATGATGGACCAGGAGGATGGTGTCCGAAACCGCCAGAAAAACCGGGCGTGGAAGCGTAGCCAGAGCGTGTCCTTGCATCGACCCCATCTTGCTTCACAGTACGTCTTCACTGCTCCGTAGTCTCCCTTGATTCCCTTTCTTGCACTAAGAGTCCCATCTGGAAAAACGTGAAGTGTATAAATAAGGCAAGGCTGGGGGAGCTGTTACTTGTATGCAACTTTACACCGTGTCTAGCTTACCTAGGGCTTAAAGGAAGGTGACTGTATTCCCTCCCACAGAGCCATATAGTGGAAGAAGAAGCGGACGTTAACACAGAAAGCTTAGCAATCCAGTGAGTGTGTACAAAGCTAGCGTTATTTCAGGGACACCTGCCTACACTGAGAAAAGCAAATATATATGTTCAGGGCAGACAGGAGATCTTTGTCAGTCGAAAGCAAAATCCAAATAAGAAAAAAAATCTACATATTTCCTTTTATTAGGGCCAAACAAAATTACGCAAAACAAAGACAGTGTAGATTTATTAACTTCTTGCTCCCAGAAAGCCAGGGATGCTGTCTAAGGCAGCACCATTTTAAGTCTGCCTGCTTACTTAGGCTTGCGCACAGAATGCTGATGAGATCGCGTCTTAAGATCACCTCACACATCTGCTCCCCACCCAGCCCCCTTTTCTATTATTTGTTTTTTTGTAACATACAGCCTGCATGGGTTTGGGGGTTTGGGGGTATTTTTGTATTTTGTGTGGGTGTGGGTGTGTGTCCGTGGGTGTGAGTGTGAGTGTGCGTGCACCTGGAAGTCATGGTGACCTCTGGGGACTGACCCCTACTGGGGGCCTGGAGGACATTCAGAGAGGTGGCTGAGTGAAGCCTGCCCCCGCCTCCCGCTTCTGGTATTCCTTGGAGGTCTCCCATCCAATTACTTGCCAGGGTCGACCCTGCTTCGCTTCCGCGATCTGATGAGATCGGGCCTGCCTGGGCTGTCCAGGTCAGGGCAAAAGTTTGCATGTTCTTTTGTGTCATTCTGATTGGAACCCATAAGGGAGAGCAGAGAGTTGTGAGGAGTGTTCACTTATATACTAGGTCACTTCTGGCAATGAAATATTTAGCACCTTTAATAGATTTTTTTTAATTGAACGAGGACTAGTCACTGTACTTTTTAAATGAAAGGTAGAATTCTTTGCATACAGTGTATACAGTGTATCAGAAACCATTTCCCCCCCCCTGTGTGAGAGTGCCATATAACTAACATCATTTGGTGATTCCAAGGAAGTCAGGCAAGATAAAAATGTTTAAAGGAAATAAATACATAAATGTACCTCCGGAGTGTGCCGCAGGACAGTTTGCTGGACCCACGTACCTGAAGACAGACTGACCCTCCAGGCGTGTGAGCTGAGAAGATGCGCACCTGCTTCTCCACGGCCTTGCAATCTCTGCGCTGTGGGAGGTGTGTGAGATTAGGGCATGTATCAGGCACAACAAGGTGCGAAGTAGTGCGAGCTTTTGAACGCCAAGGCTGGACATGGTCAGTTTGTTTGTACTTGACAAATGATCTGTGACCCTCAAAAGCGTTGGAATGCCCAGTCGAAATGGTTGATGTTGTGAGCTTTCTCCACTGTAGCCGCTACTCATCAGAGGGAGCTGTTAATCTGCTTTGTTGGTTCCACACTGTAAGCTGTAAACCGCCCTGAGCCGGCCTTGCTGGGAGGGCGGGATAAAAATCTAATGAAATAAAATAAATAAATGAATGAAGAGTACAGCAGAGAGAGCAGATCTTTTGCACTGCTGGCACATCGCAACGGTCTCTCTCATTGCCTTTCTTTGTTAATGTTGTGTTTCTCCAGGTCCAAGGCTCGAGACACCAAGGTGTTAATAGAAGACACAGACGACGAGGCAAACACATGAAGCGCCTGCGGAGTCTAGTTCCACATCCCTTGTTCTCTCTTGCTTTACTACCCTCCCCCTCAACCAATCCAACCTCTGGTACAGTTCCAGCAGAATACAGGAGAAAAATCTGAACACACTTTCTGAGCTCTTCCGGACCGGATCCTATGGACTCCAACAAGCTCACTGTGTTTTCTTTTATTTTTCTTCTGGTTTTTCATTTGATTTCTTGGTTGTTGTTGTTAGGTTTTTTTCTTTTCCCAATTTAAAAAAGAAACCCTTCGTTTTTGCCAATCAGAGGGACATTTAAGGAAGGGACTGTCTTAAGGATTGTTTACAATCTCAACAAAGGACAAATCATCTGGATGAAGAACAAGCGTCGTTGTCGTCGTCAGGACTCCCTAATGGGACTCTGCCGAGAACTTGACTCGGTCTCTGCTCAGTCCAGTTTTGACTGGTTGAAACTGGACCTGCATTTTTAACTCTGGCTCGTTCTCTCTCTCTCTTCTCTTCTCTTTCTCTCTCTCTCTCTCTGTTTCATTTTTTTTTTTTTGGATGGTTTCCTTCATATCTGGCACTCGCTGCACTTGCCGGAAAAGTGCACTTAGAGCAGTACCTTCATTCACGAAGCTACTTTTTAATTTGATGTAAACTTTCTTAAATAACTTTTTTTTGGGGGGGGGATACGACGTTATTTGTTGCGCATAGTTTTCGCCATTATTTATGACAGTTAACAACCAATTCAAGAAAGGTTTTGAAGTCCTGTGCAATGAAGGTGGTAACTCTCTAGAGACCAGACAAGGGGTGGGTGGATGGGGTGGGGGAGGAGATGTAGATCCTGCGTCGGCTCTTGTGAGGTCGAGCCCTTTAAAATACTTCTTGGATGAGAGGACTTGCACTGGTTTGACCTGGGATGTTATTTTCTTTTCTTTTTTTAAGCCAAAGTTTCTCTGATGGGTTTTACTTGCTGCTGCTGCTGCTGCTGCTGGTCCTCCAGGAAACCCCCCCCCCCGGGCACTTTGTGTATTTTTTAGCCAGATCATACTTGTCTGTCTCTTTTCCTCTCTCTCTTTTTTTGTAAAGTGGCTGTGCAGAAACAATACCAATGACCTTTTTAGATTCCTGGCTTAGAAAGGTTAGTTACGGCTAAAGTCCTGTGCAGTCCTCCAAAATAAAAAACAGAGCCTTAGTTTGATCAGTCGAGAATGGCTTTCATTCTAGTGAGCCGAGTCTCCATCCCGTGTGTTTTCTGTGGTGAGCCTAGTGCATGGTTCCCTTCCCTTCAGCTAGGTCATCGGTGGAAGAGCGGAAGAGCGTGGGAGGGAGGGAGGGAGTGGGCTGGGCTGCCTGGCCTTGGGGGGCGTTAGGCGATGTGTACAGGGGGTTAGGCAGACCCCGCCAGAGTTTGTCCCTTAGATACTTTAGACATTGGGAAGTGTCCGCAAGACCGAGGAAGTTGGTATTGCAACAGAAAGGGCTTTTTAACTGCTTTTTTTTTAAAGAAAAAAACAAAAACAAAGAAAAACTCTTTTGCCTGGACTTTGGCAAAGACTTGTCTGACAATCACTGGCCAAGGACATCCTCAGGTTAGCTTTTGTTTAATTTTTTTTTTTAACCTGTCTCCCCACATCCCCTCCCACCCCCCATCCCAAACCCTGATTTTCCAGTTCAGTGCTAGGCCTGTCTTTTACGAGCACGATAGCTGAGACTTCTAACTGGTAGGCAACGGCTGTACAGTTTTAGCAAATTCAGTAGGAAAAAGAAAAGTGGCACTTAAAAAAAAATCCCCCGAGCCTGTAGGATAGAACAGCAGCATGAATGTCGAAGGTGCCCGTACCTCCCTGCCCCCCACTCACCCTGCCTAGTCGCAAGCCTGCGTTGTGTCTGCTAAGCGTTCGTGCTTAACGTTAGCCAATGAAATCTTTTTTGTGCTCTGTTACACAGTCTGTGTGTGTGTGTGTGAAGTTAACACCATAAACAGGGGCGAACTGCTTTAGGTTTCCTTAACTCCGTCTCTAATCCAGGATTTGCTTTTGCAGCAAGGACTGCGGTGTGTCTTTTTAAAAAAAGGCTTTTTAGCAGGTTTCAGTTTGTTGCTGGTTCCTTTCTCTCAAGGAGCCCTTTTGGGTGCACCATCAGAGGCGCCCTTTTAAACAAGGAGGACTCTTCTTCCCCTTGTTCTCGTAATAGGTTCCCTACTTGATTAGTTATTTCCCACCTGACTTCCCAGGCCATTCACAAGATTTATTCTATGGTGTGTGTGTGTGTGTGTGTGTGTGTGTACATATTTTATTCAACAATATGCATTATTTGCCTCTAGCCCAGAGGAACTGAAGAAGATCTACCTTATTTTATTCTAAACAAAAGCAAAAGAATGCAAAGTGGAAGAGTGACTGCAGGCTGAGACCCCTTCTTAGGCAAGAGAGTCAGAAAGTGGATCTTGGGCTCACTTGTAATGTGTTATAGTCTGTCAGGAGGCTGTACCCTGCTGTTATGTCACTCTGCTCCAACCACTAAGATTTTAACACTGTGGAAAGATAATGGCATGTTATCGATTATTGGGAGTTAATGAGGTATGTCCTTTCTGTCCAGAGCCACTTAGTATTCCTAAGCCAGGCTTTTTCCAATTTCTAAATAACAGACTGATTGAGAATCCTGCATATCCGTCCGTCTTGGATATCCTTGCATACCCCTCCTTACTTGATTCCACCAAAGCGGTGCATTTTTTGCTTGGACAAGAACAGATGTACCTGCGTCACAATGTCTGCAACGAAGAGACATTTTCAGGGGGAGAGTTGCTCTGTTTCCCATTCTTAGGTTCTGAGATCTTGTTTTTTAACTCATGAACTTGCAAGTTGTTTACCAGGAGCTTTCTGGCTGGTAATGAATTGATAGTTGCCCATGACTTCTGATGAATAAACAGCATCCACCTGTAAATTTAATAAGATGGTGTGAAAGGAACATCGACTTCACCATGTGATGCTGATCAGTCGAATCATTTGTCACCTGCAACTTCTTCTAGCCCGAATTATTCAGCGTTGGTTATTCTCATTTAATTGTTACAAAAGAATGACCCAGAATTAGGATCGACCAGAGGGATAGTAGGAAATCCTGCCATCCACAGAATTCAGGTAGAATAAAGAGAAAGGATTAAGACTGGAGATAAAGTTGAAAATGGCATGTGAGGTGTTAGCACTGTCTCTCAGTGCGCCTGAGGGTTTTTTCATCCTGTACTGGTTCCTGCCGTCCCTTCTGGTCAACAGGTTTCAAAGTGCTACAGAAACCGTGTTCATTTGGGGGCAGTAATGAGAGAATTACACACCATGTACTGAGTAATGAGAGAATTACACAACAAGGCCTGTTTCGTTACATCATGACCGCATTGTAAAAAGCTACTGTCTGGCTCCAATCCATGTGATTCATTTTATACCAGTGGATACGCTGCTAGGTTCAGACACTGTGTCTCAGGACAATCTAACTGGCTGCACATCACCTGCATTTCCAGTTAAGAAGACTGTCCTGCATTCTGTGACGTTGACCAGAGTTCTAGAACATAATAAGAAGTCCCCAAATCACTGTCAACAAGTTGTTGTGGAAGATCTTCTGGAACGCCCCAAACGTTGGGAGTCAGCTTATCTCCTATCAATAAGTTGCTCTGCAATATTGAGTACTCTCTTGGCTTGAGAGCCAATGTAGACATTCAGAAGAATGGGAATTACCGTGTTCAGAGATTCCTACTTCCCATATGTTTTGGCTGAAATCAGGATTTGCAGGTTTCACCAAAGTAGAGTTTTTCTGTGATCCAGAGTTCCACGCAAGTACCCTGTTTGCACTGATGATGAGCGTATCGGATTTAGAGGTTCAGGGACAAGTTGCTCTAACTTTTCAGGGCTGTTTCTTTAATGGTGTACATTTTCTGTGCTGTATCACTGCTCCGGTTTTAAGCAAGGTGGTTTGGGAAGCTGATGGTTAGTGCAGAAAGGGAGTCCACCATGTAGTGATCACTGTTTCTTAACACCAAGAAAAGACCATGTTTTCTGCCATGTTTTCAGGGTACACTATGGGAAAATTACAGCCAGAATACTGCACCATTCTCCCAAAGTGAAAACCAGGGAAAATGCCATCTTGTTGCTGGAGACAGCCGTAGTTTGTTACTTATATGTACACGTACCCCAGTTTCACATTTGGCATGTAAGGTTTTGCGGTTTTTTATATTGTTTCAAAAACATGCAAAATCTGCTTGCCCCACAGGTGACAGAAAAATAATGTGCATGGTCCAAGGAAACTACTACTTTCAACTCATTTAGGAACGGCTGGCCTGGATCCCAAACGAGCAAGGGTTTCTGCCATGCAGCACGACTTTCTATCCTCTCACTGCAGCCCCATTCCTGCGGCCCCCCCCCCACGTGCTGTCTCCCAGGAACAGCATTTCAGGCTGCAGGGGAAGGCAGGAAGCCACACTCCCCTGGGGAGAATCCTTCCAAGTCAAGCGATCCAAGACAAATCTGTTGCCAGCCTTTGTTTCAGCAGACTCTCCTACTTTGTTCTTTCCAGTTGTCTCTTAACGTAATTAAAAGATTGTTCTTTAATTGGATGAAATGGACCTCCAAGGTGGCTATCGGGGAGAAATCTGTGGGTTTGTTTTTTTCCCGCTTCCATGACACCTGAATAGGAGGATTTGTCTCCTGTCACCAGAGAGAAGCATCCTGGGCAAGAAGGCGCAGCGACACCTCACTGTTTTGGTTTCTTATCAACCATAACTCCGATCATACGGTAAAGAGAACTTTTTGAAAGAAAGGATTTTCTTCTTCTAGAGAACCTTTTTCTAGAAAGAAACAGTAGTTTTCAGATTGCTGCTGCAAGTTCAGATCCTGCATTCTGGAGCAATTGCATGGTTGTGGGCCGGCAAGGCCTTGTTACCATCCTTGTTGCATACTCCCGTTTTGAATCAGTCCAGGATTATCTTTGACAGTGATAATCAAACCCAGGGGTGGGGGTGGGGGGCAGCCATCAGCTTTGTCTAGATCAGTCGTGTTTGGAAATTTACTAGAAGGCCTTGAGTTTCCTTGTAAAATTAGGAGACCTTCAAGGAGAGAATAAGCATTGGCAGACACAACTCTGTGACAGAGAACTTGTCCACTGTTACTAAACATCTGCAATGCACAGCTATATGGGACAATTGGAAGTG